AAGTTCATTTTCTCTTCTTTGTGGCAGCACTTCAAGTATTGGAACATGTCACCTCTAGTCCTTCTTTTCACCAAGACTGGACATACCCAATTCCTACAACTGTTCTTCATAATTTTCCACCTCAAGCCTCCAGTCATGTTTATTCCTCTTTGGTGTCTTTTCTTCAAACGAACCTTCCTGTTCATAAGTATTAAATCCAGTATAGCTGACCCTCTAATTTTGTTGTCAGGTTCCTCAGAAACCCCTAAGAAGCAACTGGACAGCCATTTATCCAGAATGGTGTGGGGTCTCCTGACCTAGCAGTGAATTAGTCTAGAGCCGTGATGACGAACATATGGCACTCTTGTCACAGGTCGCATGCGGAGCCATTTGTTAGGACAACGTGAGGCGTTGTCCTATCAGCTACAGGGATATTTCCAGAGGGTGAAAAACCGCCAAAAATAAAGCCAGGGGGGGGGGTTGTTTTCACCCACAACAGGTTTCACAGGCAAAATTGGTGCTTCAAGTCTTTAGGTATCATTTTATAATTTAAAGCCCCACATCTCTAATATTAGCACCGAAGGTTTGACTGTAACTATTTGGGGTTTTGGGACAGCTTTCAGGCAGAAAACACATGGATTTTCCACATATTTACATAATGGGAATAGAGCTTCGTGCTTGAGCAGGGGGTTGGACTAAAGGACCTCCAAGGTCCCTTCCATCTGTAATTCTTTTATATCCTTCCATTGTTCAAGTATTATATTACATCCAAAGTACTTTGCCTACTGAATCGTACAATGCTTTATTTACTCATTCTGCAAGTTCAGTGTCAGGGTTTCAAGTAAAACCTTCAACCAATGAAGACTCCAAGGCAGGCAATTCCTCAACGTTCCAATCTATTGAAGATGTCATATTGGCACATCTGGGAAAACCTGAAACTGAAAGCTTCCGGTTTTCCACATTCCAAAAAGTCAGAGTTCTATCCCCTACACCCACATGTCCATCACATGATCCAATCACTCCACCTACCCAAGTGGAGACATCCCCCAGTCACGCCTATCCATGTGCAGGCTGAACGTCCTTGACTCCCAGAGAAAAGATGCTGTTATGGCTATAATTCTCAACAATCTCACAATCCCCCTCCCGATTTCCCAGGCAATAAATGTGGCAGCTTTGAAGATCCAAAAGAAAAGAAGGGCCCCAGGGCTGATATTCAAATTCAATAGCAGTTTATAAACCTTAGTAATAATATGTTCAACCATTCATTTCCATTTCATTTTTCACAAAATTGTATCCATTGCTCTTTTTGTCTAGTCATTTCCCACTCCTTTAAATGTATAAATCAATGGCAAACATCCTTCTGATTCCAACTTGTAGATTTTCAGATAGGGGCATGATAATTGAACAATAATTTTTAACCATAGGTCAACCAATCTGGTTTTGCACCCTTTCTTTTCTTAAAAAAGTTCCTTGGGAGACACCAAAGAGGAAAGAATGATGACTATGATCAACATTTGCTTTAACTTTATCATACGATAAAGAGCTTTGCCATCAAAATCTTTATTCATGCCTGTCAATCTCAAAGAAGTTTTATTTTGGAGAGTCCCTCACTCTTTTTGCCACAAAACAACAAGCATCAAAGTACAATTTCAAATCTGGTCAACTCAAACCTCTTTCCTTAGCACCTTGCAATAATTTATGTTTAATTTTTGTTTTCTTTCCTTGCAATATAAAGTTAGAGATGTCTATCTGCCATATTTTAAATTGAGTTTCAGCTATAACATCTAAAGTGTGAAAGAGAAATAGCATGTTTATTAAAAAAAAAAATCTGAATTACAGAGATCCTACCCAATAATTGAAGTTTGAAGAATTTGTCAACAAGTCTATTTCATGATTGCATATTTGAATTTGGATATGAGTAATCTGCAATGTTTTAAAAGAATCATAAATAACATTAGAAATTATTTCAGCATTGTGGCATTTTTGCTTTTTACTTGCAATGTACACTTTTTCACATCTTCTGCAACCATTGTATAAAGAAAAAATTTTAAACTTACACTTTTATTTAAATCTTACAGATGAAGAGGATACCAATATGAGTTCTCTGGGATAACTGAGAATAACCAGCAATTTGAAAATGAAAGTAAATTGAGTCTTCAGAAAAGCACACAATTCTTCTCTTTCCCCAGCTGGTGAGAGAAAAAGGGGAGGAAATTTGAAGAGATTTCAAATTGGAAAAAGTAGATTATGCAGAATTCCACAACAGATTCCATGAAAAGGTCAAAGGAGATTTATTTTTTCCAATTAGAAAAAGAAGGAAATATCTAGAAGTGACTGAGGAGGAAACAGACAATTGGATAGCCACAAAAGGTAGACAGTAATGCAAGTCTCTAGACAGTAATGGAGGCCTTGCCCAGTGAGGAAGAAAACAGTAGCTTGAATAAAAGCTCCATGCAACAAGAGATCACACATATTTTTGACCTCTTCAAGAACCTCAGTGGCAGAAAAACTCTATAGATGGGCCTATTGTAGGAAAACCTCACATAGCAAATAACATATTATGCATAAGAGGATCCACTCTGGAGGAAAGCCATACAAATTACTTGTGGTTCATTGAAGGACCGACACAGGAGAGAAGCCCTATAACTACCAATGCAGTAAAAGCTTTTACAAGCAGGGCAACTTGGTGATATATCAGAGGACTCACATAAGAGGAAAACTCTTAGAATGTGCTGATTGGAAAAAAATCAGTCAGAATTGGAACCTATTGGAATATTACAGGATGCACACAGGAAAGAATTCAAATAACTGTACTGATTGTGGTAAAAGTTTCATTACAAATTCCCAGCTGGTGATACACCAGAAGATGCACACAGGAGAGAAAGCATTTGAATGTCCTGATTGTGGGATAGGTTTCAGTCATAATTCAAGCCTGGTGATTCATCAGAGGACTCACACAGGAGAGAAACCCTTTGAGTGCTCTGATTGTGGCAAACATTTCAGTCGAAATTTCACTTTAGTTCAACATCAGAGGACTCACACAGGAGAGAAACCCTTTGAATGTTCTGATTGTGGGAAAGGTTTTAGTCAGAATTCCAACCTGGTGGAACACCAGAGGACTCACACAGGAGAAAAACCGTTTGAATGTCCTGATTGTGGGAAAAGTTTCAGTCATAATTCAAGCCTGGTGATTCATCAGAGGACTCACACAGGAGAGAAACCCTTTGAATGTTCTGATTGTGGCAAACATTTCAGTCGAAATTCCACTTTAGTTCAACACCAAAGGACTCACACAGGAGAAAAACCATTTGAATGTCCTGATTGTGGGATAGGTTTCAGTCATAATTCAAGCCTAGTGATTCATCGGAGGACTCACACAGGAGAGAAACCCTTTGAATGTTCTGATTGTGGCAAACGTTTCAGTCGAAATTTCACCTTGGTTCAACACCAGAGGACTCACACAGGGGAAAAACCGTTTGAATGTCCTGACTGTGGGATAGGTTTCAGTCATACTTCAAGCCTGGTGATTCATCAGAGGACTCACACAGGAGAGAAAC